CCCCTTGCCTTCCCGCCCTCAAAAACTCTTCATCTCGCCTCGCCTCCTTCCCTCCCTCTCAAATTCTTCTTTTTCCCATCCTTCCAAACTATTCTTTCGCCACACTCTCATACACTATCCCCTTCCCACGTTGTCACTCCCCCACTCCACCCTGCACCATTCCCTCCTTTTCATAATTTCACCCTGTTCCCCAAGGAGGCTCGTCTCATCCTCTCACTCTCTCACTCCTCCATCCCCAACATCATATCCCTCGTCGCTTGAACTCCCTCCATCCTCACTCTTACTGTCCACTGCTAGCACCCTTCCTTGCCTTCTCCCTTACCTCTTTTTAACATTTCTCCCTCTGCCCTCCTCTTTATCACTCATTTCTTTCTCAAACAGAATCTTCTATTCTTCTGTTTCTCTCATTTCTTATTCCCATTCAAAAATCTTACATGACATCTCTTACTTCTGTCTGCATATCTTCATCCTAAGGCATTCCTTGTTCCTCTTTGTGTTTCTCAACTTCATTCTTGCTTAACATTTAATGGTCTTTGAAAAGGAAGGATAATAATAAAGTAGTAATAACAAAATTATAGCTGTACTTTGGAAATAGTTTTGTGTGGGTGTTTATTTGTGAAAGTTTAAATATAAATCATCTTTTGGAGATCAACATCTCCTGAGGTGTTTATACTCTATACTCTTATTAGCAATTCTGTAATATTGGATCAGCTTAATGAATAATATTTGGAATATTATCAAGTCACATGACAGTTGTACGCTCTGCATGAAACTGTTATCGTGCCCATTTTAAATTACACTGTTTTCAATTTATTTTTTTGTGAACATGTTGGAAGTAGTCATTTAACAAATCACAGAATTGCTTTTATTTATATTTTGCTCATTTTGGCCTCAATTTTCTTTAACGAGTGATCCCTTTTAAAAAGCTACTTCCATAATGTGGGCTTATTAACAATTATTTGAAAAATATGTATAATTTATAATGTATATTTTTCAAATCTTTCAACATTTCAAGTACAAAAAAGTTGTGGCAAAGCTTGAACTAAACTTCACATTATTTGTTACAGAGTGGAGGATCAGAATGTGATGATGGAGGGCTCTATTTGGATCGTCACACTTATCATTCAATATGTCAAGACATTGTCAATCATAAAACAATGCTTCTGAAGCTGATGCGTCACCTGCAGAAAGTAAGTGAATTGCTTCCTGTACAGTTTAGTATTGTATAAAATATGTCTACAATGAACCTTTTGAAGATATTCAGTTACCTGATTGGAGTGGTTGGAAGATGCTTCGTTTCAAGTTCATTGCTTTCCTGTGAATAAGGTGCTTTTTTCAAATTGTAGTTTTGTATATAGAATAGTCATTAGAACTAAATTTTATTTCATATTTTGTCTGCTTGTTTCATAGTCTGTTGCTTGTAGATGCCATTTTTATTTTTATTGTTCATTTTAAGATACAACTTATTTTGTAGAAAGTGTATATTTATTTATTGTCTACACAGGATAAAAGGAGTAAATAATGCTCTGTAAAACATTTTGGTGCTTTGGTTTATATTAAAATTGATTTCCAAACAATTTAAATTGATTATAACTTTCAATGAATTTTCTTTAAAGTTTATTCATTGATTGATGCATTGCATTTATTTGCCCTACAAATATATTTTATGGATTGCATTTAATTATTTTATGGATTGCTCTACAAATTTGTTTTTTTGATTTTTCATACAACTTTCTAGAATGCTCACTGTGCTCCCTCCTTTTCTTCTTCTTCCACAGAATTGATAAGATCATCGAAGAGTAATTTAAAAAAATTGAAGATACTACTCTCCGAAGTGTTTTACTTTATTTCTTATGAATTGAATAATGAAATTTGAAATGCATAAACAGTAAAACAGAGCATTATTTGGTGTTCTTTTATTTTCCTTTCACATCTGCATTAATTAATTCATTCATTAGCACCTATTCGTACATACTTAGTCTCTATGGTATATCTTGTAATTTGTCATTGTTATATTTATCAAATATTGATGCTCTTACAAAATGAAAGATGCCAAATTTAGAAACTGACTACATTATTTAAGAAAAACCATGCATTTGATAATTATATAGGTTGCTAGAACATACTATGCTGCGATTATTGCAACTCTGTCCCTGACAGGTATCAGCTGTTGACAGCTTCGTCCAGTTGGGAGCTTGAATAGTGCCTAGCAGTAGTCATACCTGCCAGGGGCCAGAATTGCATTATTCGAAGTAGAGTGTGTGGAGAAAATCACTGTTTTTTATGGATATGCAACACAAAATTACTATTTATATCTAACGGATTGGTCTTATCTTTTACTCCTGGTTCAAAATAAATCTTGTGATGCTCTGATTTAGAGAGTTATGCGACTTCAATCACCAAAGAAAAATTTTCATCATTCTTTTCCATCACATTTTGTGTTGTAATGAGATATTACATATATTTCTTGAAAATAAAACTGATATGTATACATTATGAAAATTCTTACAATTTTCTCCTTGTTTATCATTGAGTTGTAATTCATATTGTATTATACTGTTGATGTAGTTCTCTTTGAGGCTTCTATTTTGTGAAAACTCAGTACAAGATATACCATGATCATTCTCTATTGTGCACGGTTGGTCTCAGCAAAGTAAAGCAAGTTCTGTGTGTATTTTATTTCTTTTCTTTCTGTTTTTGTGTTCTGCTCGGTTGTTGTGTCACCATGAATGCAGAATGAAGGGAACAGTTTGAGGGTAAGCTCATTTTTTCTCTCATGCATGCCCTTTGGGAGAAAATTATTTGTTTTCTGAGAGAGAGAGGGAGAGAGAGAGACTCTGAATAACCCACAGAGAATAAAATTTTTTGAAACCATAATTTGGCAAGAATTTCCACCGAAATGTGATATCAAAAAATTAATTGATTCCTATATATATTCTTATGTATATAATTCATTGCTTTCTGTGAATTTGCTTTAAAATATGGCTGTGGATATTTGGGAAATATTCATAATTACATAATTACTACTTGACCATGTTTAAAGCATGTTTCTTTGTATTTATTGTATGTACATATGTATATTAGTTGTGTAAAAGTGATTGGAATATTAATTTGTGGCTGTGATTACAGGCAGAGACTCTCAACCCATTCGATTCCTCTTTGAAGGTAAGACTCCAATGATTTCAGGGTTGTATTCATTGTGTGACAACATGTTTAGCACAAAATCAAATTCAAATCAAAGTCTGTTGCAGGATGATGGGGGGGAGTGCTCCCCAGCTTAATTCAGTTTTGAATAGAGGGCATATTTAGTGTTATTTTGAAAGTTTTTTTCCTAGAATCTCAGGACAACAGCTTGATTATGTTGCAAAATATCTGGAAAGATATGAATTTTCGGTTTTTGATTTTTTTATATCATTATTTGGAGATAAAATTCTGAAAATAATGATGGGACATAGTTGGCATCTATACGTATCTTGGAAAACATTTTTTTAAATTTTGGCAGGAAATTAAATTTAAAATTTTGTTGTTGTTGTCATTTTTCTGTTTTATTTGAGGCGACACCTCCAAAAACTTCCTACAATGTATTAAGGTGTTCTTTAAATAAGAAAAATCTGAAAAAAATCTGTAGTAAATACCTTAATACCAATTTGTAGGATTTTTTTTGGAGAGGTAACCTCAGAAATAAAATCTAAAAAAAATAACAAATAACAATTTTAGAAAAATTGAATTTCTGCCAATTTTTTTTTTTTAATTCTCCAAGTATTTACCTATGTCTCAGTAATTTATATTGGAGTAATGATATAAAAAAATAAAAAATTGAATATTCGTATTTTTTCTGATACCTTGTAAAATAATCAGGCGGTCAAAATAACACTAAACAAGCAAAATTGAATTACACTTCGGGGAACTTTTATACCCTCCCCCTCTCTTATCCACTACAGCTTGTAAATTGAATATTTCTTACCAAAGTAGATGCAACCATTATTTTATTTTTTTAAAGGAAATTGCACATTGTACATATTAAAAGATTTGGGTTTCTTACACCTGCCTCCTACAAATATTTCACCAGTGATAATTGCATGTGTTGAATTTTACAGAATGGCCTCTTCTACAATCTGGCAAGTACTGATACTCCTTCTGGGGGAGCTGAGGAGACAGGGCAAGGCCTCTCCTTGCAGGAAGAAGTTGCTGATTTGCAACGACAGGTAAAAATACTTCCCTCCATAATATTCTGAGAAAGATTCAATTTTTATCTATCACATATTAAATCCATTGTATGTCCAAAATTAATGTTGGATTGTTGATTATCAGTCCTCTGGTAAATTAAATCTCTCAAAAAAATCTTTTTACTGTGGTTTGTTTTTCTGTTGGTGTTGGAAAGTTATGACAAACACATTATTTCATCTTCATGAATAAAATTGTAGTGCCAGTGTGCGATTTCAAAATAACTGTTTTTAAGCTTAACAGTTACTTTCTTCGTCCATCAGGCTGTCTAAACTCGGAAAAGGCTAAACTGATTTCAGTAACATTCACACAAACTGGTAGTCTTTTATCAAGTAGTTTAGGCAATTTTGTTTTTATCTCATGTATTTAAATCATTAAAGGTTTTGATTAGAAAATCTTTAGAGCTTTCTACTCAACCAAATTTTCTGAATTTGTTTTTAAATGAAAGATAATGGGTCCTAAATGCATTATTTCTCGGTATAGTGTTAAAAGTATATGAAAATTAATAGAACGAACAAAGATCTACCATCATTTGTTCATTAATTTGTTGTACAGTGCAAGTTACAATCCATCAATTAAAGGCAGTTGTCTGATGCAGAGTGTAAAGGCCAATTACATTTCGCAGACCTGAATGTAAATTATCTTCTTGGTTGTTTTTTAAACAAATATACATTTTTATTCTGATCTTAGTAATCAAGCCTTTCAATCCATGTGAATTTGTATGTGAATATTTTAACATTGATTTTCTGGGTGAATCTTCCAAAAAAGAGTTGATCTCAATTTATTTTATTCTTTTCATTTAGATATTATATTGAATGTTATAGATTACAGATAACTAGATATGAAATAATAACAAATGGTCTATGTTACAGTGATCATGATGCATAAATTCTTAAAATTACCAGTTGTTTGAACACGGACTCATTAAATAAAACATGAATGTATAGATAATTTACTCAATAAGTCAATGTACATCTACTAGCTACAGTTATCTTAACTTTTACTTTATAATACTGTAGACAATTATAGCAAATATAATTTATTTCTCTCAAAGTATCAATTTCACTTTAATGTATGCTTTCCTCTTAAAAAGAGAAAATTAAATATTTGACGGAAAAGTAATATGTAGATAATACAAGGAATTAGAACATTGTTTAAAGCAAATGTACTCTATTTTTTATTTCTAAACATCGTAATGTATCATTTGGTTTCCATGCTTTCATCTGAAAATACAAAAGTATTGTAAGAAAAGTAATAGAATGGACAAAAATTATGAAGAATTATCAGAACATTTTAAACACTAACAATAAAACTAAAGTATTCTAAAATGTAAAATATACAACCAAAATATCTTCAAATTTTGGAGGAAATGTTGTTTTAAAGGAAAATATCAGAGAGGTAAACGATCCGGTAAAAGTTGCAAGTATCAACACTTTCGAGAATTGCAGCAATCGAGCATTGCCATCTCACGATGGGACTAATACCACAAAATTCAACGTCACATAGTTCCCAAAAAATTTTCAACACAATGTTTGTTTTCGAAACTTTGTCCAGTGAAATCCTCATAATAGGCAGTAAAATTAAAATCAATATTCAGCTGGTTTAGATACGTTTCTGGGGTGTTTTTAAAAAACTTGTGTACCTGCATTATAGTCTTGTTAGCTCACATTTTCAATGCTTTTTAATGCACAGGAATATTTACAGATGTTTTCAAAATGGTTAAACTATTTATATTTTTTAAAAAAACATTTTCAAAATGCCCATTTTAGAAAAGGCAATGGAATTGGAATTCAAAATTATTGGCCAATTTCTCTTTTTAGTCAGGTGTTCCAAAAATATGAAAGATACTTTTTTATACACAAATGAAACTAATGACCATTTTACAAAATCAAAATCTAATGACCATTTTTTTTTCTTAAAGATGTTGCTTGATCAATGGATCAAAGTGAAGCACTTATTGGAATTTTTTATGATCTTTTGATAGCTTGTGACATAATTTACCATTACATTTTGCACTCAAGATTGCCTTCTGATGGTACTGATGGTATTGCCCATTATTTACTTGTCTTTCCAATTCTTTGCTAATTGAGCATGGGGTTCTGTAGGGTTCGCTCGTAGATTTTATCTTCGTGCTTTTATATGTAAATGATATGCCCTCAACTAATAGAAATGGAAGAATAGTTTTGTTTGCTGATGACTTGAATGCTCTTTTCAAAAAGAAACAATAAGTAGTACAATTTCAGATGTTTCAAATTGGTTTTGTTATAACAAATTTATAGTTAACAAAGAAAATACGGTTTTGATGCAGTTTTGCATTTCTAACCAGCAATGGCATGCACCATTGAAAATTAAATATATGTAAAGGTAATAAAATTTCAGGGAGCCGCAATTCAGTCTGACTTCAATGGAATATCCATATTAATGGATTAAATACACAAATTAAGTTCATTATGTTATGATTTCAGAATTCTTTCAAATTCGATCAGCCATTAACCAGCTTGTTGCGTGTATTTTGCAAATGTATATTCCCACCTGATATATCGTCTAATATTCTGGGGTAACATATCCACATTGTACCCAGACTTTAAGATTGCAGAAAAAAATAATTTTGTGTAATAAGCAAATATCATCACCATGATTCTTGATAGCCTTTCTTCATTGTGTTTCGAATCCTATCATTGCCTTACCTATTTACAAATTTGTAGTTTTTGTCAAAACTGACTGGCTTAATTATGGAAACATATTTTTATGCAATGCAGGATGTAGGAATTATATTCATTAAATTTCAGTATCAACAGCTCAGTTCAAGAAATCCCAAGTATAATTAATTCTTGAACATTAATGTACTACGCATTGTCAGATAACATTAAACTATTGAAATTGATAAGTGCCAAGTAAAATATTTTTTGCCGGCCCTGTGTTTGTGCAAGTAGAGACTTACAACCTCAAAAAAAAAATTGTTTTCATAATGATATAATGGCCTCATGTTTTGCTTCTGAACATGCACGTAGCTGCACTATGCATCTGTTTTTTTAAGCTCTCCTTTTGCCAGTTGTGGTAGGTTTAGAGCTAGGATGTGTGTTGCTATTTTGTTGCTGTTAAAAAAATGAAGTCTTTAGTTGATTTACCAATCCAAACAAGTTCACTATAACTTGGGAGTAAAAATTTCTGGTTTTTCAAATGTTGCTAACCGTTCTTCACTGGTACTCTTATTCTTCATATAACTGTATATAGTAAAAGGGTGGGGAAAAGAGGGTAAGAAACATGTGCAGACTTCAGTGAATATTTCACTGATAATAAAATCAATATGAAAATAAATCAAATAAATCTGAATGAAGCTTTGTAAATTAAATCCTAAAGTCATGAGAAGAGTTCCTTGTTTTATGAAATTCTATGAAAACAACCCATCTCTTTCCCATCCTGTAAATCAGAATTTAAGCAGAGACACTCAGGTTTTTGTGCATATTTAAAAAATGGTAAGAAAATCGACCATCCTGAAGGTCAACAAAAATTGTCTACTAAAGCATTTTGATGTATTCCGTTAGTTTAATTAGTAGGGGGAGAATGTTGATTATCTAAAACATCGCAAAAAATGATCCATAAAATGCTCTTAAAATGTTTGAAAAATCACCTAAAAGCAAAGAAAAAGGACATAAAAAGCATGCTAAAGATCAAAACCAGGTGGGATAGACAACTCAAGACGTTGGATACGGTACTGATGCAATCGAGGCTTCTTCTAATCCTTCAAGTGACCTCACCTTGCAAACTTTTGGCTTGGACTGTTCTTTACCAGCAAATCTGTCTTTAGTAATCCCAAAATTGGCTGAAGTGACTGGTAGGCATCCCAGGAACCTTAGATTACAGTCTCACAATGGCTGACATTGCAATTTCTGAACAAAGAAATCGAATATGCTACTCAGGAATTCTGTACGAACATTTGTGGTATCATGTAAATGTTATTTGAAGCAAGTACTATCAAAATAACATTAAAATCTATGAATTTAGTGAACAATGCATTGTGCATGCATGTGATGGGAAAAGGTTAAAAATTACTTATTAGATGAAATTGACAGAAAAAAAAGAGAGGAGGGGGGGGAGGGACATACATTGGCCCATTTCCTGTTGTCCTAACATAAAATTAATTTCTATACTAAACGGCATTATTCTAAAGTAAAAAGAAAGTAAAAAAGACATTTCAGTAAAAATAGTAATTAGTCTTCAAGTAATTGAAAGTTTAAAAAGGCCAAAAGTTATGTTTGCCTCGTTTTACTGGAGAGATTCTTGGAAAAATGGAGCAGTCTTTAGTATGAGTTGGGAAGGGTACTAGAACTCACTAAAAAAATGTTTTAGATTTCTTTAATGAAAAGTGTAATTGTTATGGAAGTTTTTAAAACTTCTATTCTCTTTTATATTATTTTATTAAACTGGCACCATTTTCAAAATGAATTTACAGACAAACAGAGAGTTTGGGGATTACTTTATACAAAGGTTCAACAATGGTGCAGGTCTCATTTTTGTGGAACACTCTGAATTTTTGAAAATTGCAAAAATTTCTGAATTTTCTGAAAAAGAAATACTTGGGCAACAATGAATTACATATGCTATTTTCTTAATATTGTTCTTTTCTTTGTTACTTATTAGCTGTAATTTTTATTTCAAAGTTTTAGTTGAAAATTGGACATCTTTTCCCTTTTGCTGCAGGTTGTATTTCTGCAACAGCAACTTGAAGAGAAGGAGCATACAATTCAGTTACTGCAAATACAAATGACAAAATACAGCAATGCAGAAGTGACTGCTAATGGTCCTATTGCTAAAGAAACTTGCAATGCTGCTACTCAAACTGAAAGGGTAAGTACTCTTTAGCTTCTTGTGTTAGATTATTTCAAAAGGGAGTCTTAAGATTTTGTTTCTACACTTTGAAAAAGCTGGAATGATGAAATGAAAAATTGTGTACATTGTATCTTTACTTTTTGCAGAATATGAAGATGATTTGTGTGACTAGTCTTAATGTAGATGAATTATACTTATAAACAGAACCTTTCCTGTTTTTTGACAACTTAGCATTTTACAATACTGTTTATTATATAGATTTGGTAATTAAATAATCCTTCATTTGTAAGAAGGTAGTGTTCATGATGTTTAGCCCAGAAAAATTAGATAAATCAAGTGAAAAAAATACCAGAGTTTTGAAACTTGGCCTGATTATCTATTGGTACTTAGTGTACTTATTAAAAATCTTGAAGTGTTGTGTGTGAGCCAGCAGTAAGGGGCCCTTTAAGGATATTTTTTTCTATGATTTTTGCATATATCTTCATAACTATCAATCTTCTTGAAAATTCAACTCAACACAAAATCGAAGTACATAAAATTTACTATAAAACAATTCCAATAAAGTTTTGTTTTAGAGAGAACCCTTTTAAAGTTACTAGCTAAATCCGTGCAAAAATTTCACACTTTTGTGCGCATGAAGAGATACTGAAATATTCTCATTTTTAGACCTACATTCCATTCGTGAACAATAATTTGAAGTTTTTGAAGAAGTATTTTGAGCATATAAGATCTGCTTTTTAAAATAATAATTGATATTTTGTATTATTGTAGCACATTATTTTGAAATAACATCAGTTAGGCCCCAAGCGAGGGGTCACTGGGCTTCTTGCCCCTCCTACATGGGTGAAAATGCAATGGAAATTTGCCACATGACCACAACTGTCAACAGAGCAAAGTTCAGTATTCAAATATCTGCCGCCAGTACACCTGTATTTTGGTTAAGTGTAAAAATGGCATTATCACTATGAACTTTTGTAAAAACTACACATGTTAAAATTATTATTACAATTTTTAATAATATTCTTTTCATGTACACAAAGGCCAACATGGAGTGGAATATCTTTCTCTTAAATACTTGTTAATTAGATCATTGGAGAAGTAGATACCTTCTAATATTTAAATACGGTAAATTAAAGATGTCTGATATCAAAAAATATATTGTACTAGATATATACTAAATCATTTTGATTGCGTAGTGATCATCCTCAGAGCTTGCAGCTTCTGGGCCGAAAAGAAAGTTCTGTGGTTTTTGGGATATAAATGTATTATTTATAAATTGTAGCTCTCTGCACTCGTTCCCTGAATAAACTGTGCCAAATCTCCTATTTCTCTATGCGTGTAAATGTTAAAATTTAAAAAAAGGGTTTAAAGTTTTCACTTATTACTATATAGATTGGCTTGAGAAGTTGCCATCCATGTTCATTTGGTCTGAGATTACCCTGAATATGTAAAAATGATAAGACATATTTTATCTATTAAGGGTTGTGTACACATCTTTTCTAGAGGATTGTGTGTGTGTACACTGTCAAAATATAGCAATTTTAGGAATGTTTGGACTTTCCCCGATGCTATAACCACTGGATCCCCTCATCGAACATTGTGTTTGTTACGCATTGACATCCTTAGTTTTAGTTGTCACTCTGGGTACACGGTAAACATGATTATTCCATTTATGTTGTTTTATGTAATTTATATTTTCACGGTATACACAATCCTTTAGTGAAAGATATGTACATGATCCATGCCAAATAAAATATGGCTTATCACGGTTTAATGTACCCAAGAACATCTTGGACCAAATGACGTGGGATACTCGTAAGTCTACTGTACAAAATAAGGTTTAATAAGAAGTAATATATTTACATTTTTTGTGCAAAAAATGCTGGTACAGATTTTTGATATATGGTGAACAAAAATTAAATTACTTGCATGTGTTGAACATGTCTTTATATCATTATTACAAGGAAGATAACTATAAGAAGGCTTTGTCATAAGTAAAAACAAGAACTTTTGAAGCATATGTCTTTAAAAAGGTTAATTATACATTAAAACTTTATAGGAACTTTCCGAAGGAAATTTTATCTAGGCCCTACTTGGTGAGTAATTTTGTGTAGAGCATAATTTTTGGAAGGATGAATAGATTATGGAGATATATGCAAAAAATGTTTAAAAAAAAACCCTTAAATGGCTCCCTCACACTTCAGTAATTTTAGTATGGTGTGCAGTAGGTACCGATGAGCAATCATGCCATGTTTCAATGATTTTTTCTTGAAGCTAAAGATCTACGAAAGTGGAACATTTAATATGGGGATTGCAAACTAATTTTTTAATTGTTTTTCTGCATTTAGTTTGTCAGAAGTAAATTCAACAGTTTCCTGTTGTAGCTCACGCCTTCCGAATTTAAATAACATAAATATGAATTGTTAGTGGTATATCTTTGAATAAAACATGAATAAATAAGGTCACTTCTAAAATTGTGTACTAAGATTTATTTGTATTAATAGTACTCTTGAATTTCTTTCTTGTTGGTTATATCTAATGACATACCTTTATTAATGTGTGAACCATGGGAAATAACACAACTTCTGGTTCTTTACTAAGGTTCTTAATTAAAAACCTTTCCTGGTAATTTTTTTACATTTTGTTTTGCCTAAAAATTTATAATTTCAAACTTAAGAAATTGTGACCCCAAATGAGTGATGGAAGCCAGATGTGCTTATGTTATTACAAAATAACTAGCCCAGATATAAAAAGTAATACATGAAAAAAAGAGCATTAGCATTCATAGTTCTGCAAAGACAATTAGCCTCAGAAGTTCATCAAGGCCTGCAGGGCTATATTTCACTGCATGTGTTGGTGTGTGGGAGGTCTCTGTTTGAAAAAAGAAAAAAAGTGCCCGTGGAGAGAAATATGCTTATTTGCAGTGAGGATGGGTGCAGACATTTATACAAAATTGAATGTTCACATTTGCTTCCTTTGATGTGAAAATGTACTGATAAAAACATGTTAATCTCTGTTACAGATTAGACCCGTGTCTGCTGGTCCCTCTTTGTTGCAGCAACCTCTTCCCTCTGATAGCAGTGGCAGACCTTTAGTGAGGTGAGTTCAACAATTTTTACAACTGAACATTAATGTCTCTTCAGGTGTAATTGATGTATGATAATTAATTCTCTCACTGTCATTTGATATTGTGAATATCTGTAACAATCATTCATTGTTTTCATTTGGACGTTCATTAATTTCCTATTTCCATTTTCACCTTGATTTATTCTAATCCGATTATTGCAACAAAATCGGCATCGTTACACTGATGCTTTGAAAACGTATAATTGTTTTATAATGATGATAAGTCAATCTTTTCTCTGCATTAGCAGAGAAAGTTTCTTAATAGTAATTGCTGTGGTAATGCACATTATGGTGAAAAGAGGAAACTAAAGAAATTTAATTTAAGTCTTTCCTGTGAAGTTAATGACTTAGCATAATATTGCAAATTTTAGTTTACTTAAATTATAAGTATAAACAATAAAGAGTAATATTGTAGATCAAACTAGATAGTAGGCAAATGCAGGCTAACAAGAAGTTTTTGCTCTTCCCCAGACATTACACATCATGTAGAGTAAAGACCCTAGTTGTGCATCAGTAATAGCCACTTCAAGCAAACAATGTGTGCTAAAATAACTTCATAACTTGCTTGAAATTTCTAGATCAGAGCCTATATGCCTTCTGATGTTGGGGAGTCGAAGTGTTTCTTTTCTCTTCTTTTATCTTTAAAGAATAACTTAAAAATGTCATAATAATATTGACATTGCAATAACAGAGGTACTTTTACTGGTACTTTTTTGGGATTAAAAAATTTGAAAGATGTTTAGGGGTTGAAGATTTCAGTGGCCATTATAGAAATGGACTATTAACAAAAAGTTCCAATTTTCAAGTTACTATCATTTGATCAAAATCAGGGTTTAAAAATAAATTGATAAAACTTAGGACGAATTGAAAAATGACAATTTTTTTGTTATATTTCAAGGGATCCCTTCAAAAAAAGATATGATAATCACTCATTGAGTTTCATGTAATGTATATATTACTGTAACTGAAGAAGTTTAAGGAAATTCAGAAAATATCGACCACTACTGGTGCTTTTACCTTAATACTAAGCTGCCTAACAATAACAAGAGTTAAAACTTTGCTCATTCGATTCTTGGTATTCATTTTTAACCTTTTTGTTTTTTCTCTTTTGTGCTGCCCTCCAGCTTCAGGATTGGGAAGGTACAGTGTGTCTCTTGTGGGGATTTTGGTTGTGGCCTTGTTTTGTTATTGGTAGTTCATGTCTTTTGCTGGATGCATTTAATGTCTCGTACTGCCCTGTTTGAAGGAATGCATTTAGTGACCTAAGTTGCTTTGTGATTTGCTGTTAAGAGTCCGAATAGTGATTGTTTGTTGAATCTAAATTTCTAGATTACATGCATTCAGTGTGAAGTGAATGGTCCTTAGCCAATTTTGGAATTAATATAAAAATGCCTCTTTTAAGTTACTCTAAAATGTTTGATGGCAATAAATTTATTTCATGCTGCTCTTAAAGAATTTTGGAGTAAGTATGTTGCTCAGTTTTTTGAATATGTGGCTTTTTAAGCTTTGAAAGTTTTGTTTTTAATGTTGCAATATATAGGTCACCTCTCTCTTTACATTGCTTTTCACTTTCTATAAATAGAATTAAAACTGTATTTGAAAAGCAGCGAGAGAAAAGCTGACTATAATTTTTGAAAACATTGTTAGATGTGGAGAAGTTTTAAATGATAAATTTATATTACTGCCAATTTTGTATTTTATATTCTTATTTGCTTCTACATTCAGAGAAATTGAAACACTCTTATGAATCATATATTCTAAAAGTTCATATTTTTGTTTGCCTGTTTCGTTAATTCACCATTGGGGGATTGGATTTTGCTTCTACTATTATTACAATTTCACTCCCTCACTGTGTTGCATGAAAACAAAATGTTGAGCAAAAACGTAAAAATATGATTTTGCTAATGGTTGAAATATGGTAGTTTTGGTTATTATGCAGTTATTCCAGTTGCTTGGTACTTCTTGAAAATTTAATTTGTCTTTTATTAATCACAGACAGAGATCCAAACAATTCAAATCAAACTAAACGAGATAGGAATGCCAACAAAATGTTGTAAAATCATTCTGATTGATATTATGGGCAGTTAGTCTTATTATCCTAATTGGATGATGGAATTGCAGCCATTTAGATGTCTGGTCTAAGCTCTGGTTTTTAATTTACATTATTTTTCACATACATTGATCTTTCTATTGTAAGTACCGAGTTAATTTTCATTACACCTTCCAAAAAATTAAATAATTTTTGTAAATCACTTGTTTATGAATTATTTTGTCAATTGTTTTTGAAGATCACACCAAATAGATTTGAAACTGGGGAAAACATTGAAGCCTAAATGAACAGAATGAAATCAGGAAGTCTCTTGTGTAGATTTACTTTCTCTTTCTCTCTCTTTCTTTCTCTTTCTCTTTCTCTCTTTTTCTCTCTCTCTCTCTTTTTCTCTCTCTCTCTTTCTTTCTCTTTCTCTCTCTTTCTCTTTCTCTCTTCTCTTCTCTCTCGGCTCTCGCTCTTCTCTTCTCTCTCGGCTCTTTTTTTTTGGCAAAAGCATTCATTAGTCCTCTTTCTACGTGTAATATATTCTGTATAATACCAATACATTGAGATGAACCACATTAATCTCATTGTGAAAATGAGAAAATATAAATAGATTGAAAAGAATATTCATTCAGTTAATAAATGCACAGATCTCTTAGTAGGATAAATGAATAGAGATGATTGTATAGTTAATTTGATATGAATGTGACTTTTTATTTCTAATAAGAGTTTTTATTTTTTTTATAGAATTCGAAGCAGATATTTTAATAATGAACAGCACAACTATATATTGTTGCATATTAGAAATTTCATTTTTTTCCCCATTTTTTAGTAAGAGTCTAAAACAGAAATTTTCTGATGTATCAGTTATTAGCCAAGACTTCATAGAGCAGTGAATTTCCAAACCCATATGATAAGAATAAAACAACTAAGGTGGACTATGATTTCAAAATTAAACTGAGCTAACCAAAAATATAGACAACAGGGCAATTCATGGTAGTACATACGGAAGTTAGTAAAAGTTAGAAAGAATAATACTTAAAGTTGATTTAACTTTATACGTATATATGTTTTTATATAAATAAATAATCACAACATTACAGCTATTTTTTATAATATAGAATTTTCAAAATCTGATTATTCCTGTAGCAACCATTGTCAACAGTTGCTTTATCAAGAATTGATCCAAACTTCATTACTCCCATTCTCAGTAGGTTTCCCTTCATCCATTGAGCAAAGGCTAAGATGATTTCTTGCTTTACCTCTCCAAAAGTACTTAGCTTTTCTTCCAAAGATAACTTTTGTATTTATTTACTTTTGTTCAGTATATATCAAATATCAGAATGCTTTTAAGCACCAAGCTAGTGAATTTTTATTAACAATAATATTTACAATATCCTGTAATTCCTGGCATTTTTGTAATTGTGAAGATTTCCACAGCATTCTAATTTTGTAGTTTGGTTTTCCCACCTGCTTTACAGTTATTTTAAGATTTTGTAGAAATTGTTAATATTCTTTTAGAAAGAGTGAATTCAGAAATAAAACTAGACAGGGTCCTTGTAATAAATTTCTTTTCTTGAATAACAGTTACATGTAGTTTTGGAATAGGTGGTGAACTTGTGAACTTTCAGGACTACATTCATTTTTCTGCTTGGAAGTCTTTGAAATGTAAATTTTCAGTTGTGAAACATTTAGAATACCTATTTTGACTTTTGTTTGTTGAATGTTCAGTCCATTAATAAGGTAGGTAATTATGATGATTTAAAAAAACAACTAAATTCATTGGAATTGTGCTTATCTTAGGCAAGGTAATGAACATTTCATACTCGTTACCTTTCTTTATATTGTTCTAGAACAATAATGATATAATAAAGTAATATTGCAGCAATTGATACTTAATGAATTTAAATAAGAATGCTAGTAGATGAATATGCAGTAAAAATGTCATGGATTGGCCAATCACTAAACCCAACTTATCTTATCTATTGAATGTTAATGGTGGCATTGCACACTTACAGTGAATCTGGCCTAAAATTTGAAAAGTATCAGTGGAACATATGCAACATATCTGATGCAAAGGAATTTCCATTTGCACTCACCCAGAAGTGTGTGTAAGAGCTGGGCCATCCCACAAAATTCATAAATTTCTTAGCCAGCCTACAATTAGCTGTCAAATGTTCTTATAATTTGCTGAGAATATTTGTTTTTATCTCTTTGTGAGTCCGTGATGAGAATTATTTAATTTTCCTTCTTTTCCTGCAAGGGACATTTGCTTAGGCTTCCTGAACTATTTTCTCTAATATTTATTTGGATAATTTTGCAGATTTTATTTCTTTTGGCATGTTGTTTGGATTTGTTTTGCAAGATGTTTCAACTTGCAGATCATGTGGAGATCATTAAAGAAAGGATTTTTCTTGTGTAAGTCTTAAGTGTTTAATTATCTCTTGCAGTTTGAATGACACACGGAGTTGGCAGAGACAGCCAACAGTGGGCAGTCCTGCACCAGCGAAGTCAGCCACGCGCCTCCCCTTAATGCGGCAGTGGAAGCGAAATAATATTCCTCCCACAGATTTGGGGGGCAGTGGGGAGCAATCTCAGATCCCAGTCAACAAGCAGAATGCTCTGAACTTGGCCACGGCTGCTCTGCCCCAGATGGCAGCTGCAACGGCAGAGAATGTAGCGACTCTTTCTCCTGCAAGTTCAACAGACAGACATGCTATTCATGTAACAACAAAATGACCTTTAATCTCGTCTTAAGTATCATTTTAGTTATTCTCAAAATGTGTAGCCGTTTTGACCTTTCTTTCCTTAAAATGATACTTATGACGAGATTAGGTAATTGTGTGGTTGTATAACCACGTATCTTTCATTAGATTAATTTTGTTTCGTAATCCTTCTTGAATGTTTGAGAATACTACCAATGAATTGAAAATTCTTTCAGTTAAGTCACACCTCTGTTCAGCTTGATAGTGCCAGTGCTCAAGTTTTGAAAGTTTATTTTTAGTTATGTTAATCTCTCTCTTGTAAAGAGATCATTAAATCAGCAAAATGATGAAAGCCAAATTCAGGAACTACTGTTTTCATAACTTTCTGGCTCTTGGCTTGTCATTCCATCAAGCATTATAATCCTTTTATTGCAGCATCAGTCATTAACAGCATGTAAGAGCCAAATCTACTACTGAATAGAGGTGAATATAAACCCTATGAGCCATCAGTAGTCTAGTTTTACAGTACTATACTAAAATGACTTGAATGTGAGTGTATGTGGATGTAAATAGATGTTGTAAAGATGTATGGTGAGTTGTTTCTTAACTTTTAGGAACTGTTTGTATATACTGCATATAGAATGATAATGAAAAATTGACGTAACAGAAGTATTAATCAATTATGGTCTGCAATGACTCCTATAAACATACTGATTACTCTGGAAGATACTTGTATGTCTGAGTAAATATGTAGATACTTTCAAGATGATTCCGTCTCTGGCTACATATTGGAGTGTGAAGAGAAAGATTAATAAATCATGTGAACAAGAAATTCTGTAATTTGAATTGCAGTTGTGTTAGATGTCAAAAAATGTAGTTTCTCACTGGTAATATATACAATTCATTACAAAGCTATTTCTTCCAGTTTTTTATTCTTTCAACATTTTATACCTATATTTGTAGAAAACTGTTTTATTAATTTTATCTGGTAGGTTATTGACATTTGCAACAAGCAGATAAAATAGAAATGATTGAGTAATGAAATTAATATTATGTTTCTTTCTAGGTTTAGCTGTTTGAAATGTACAGTTTTATAGGTGGAGCAGTAACTTTTTTTTTTCTTTTTTACCCACTTTTATCTTACCCAGTAAAGATTTGTAGAATTTTGTTGTAAGTTTTGTATTTTAGTTATTGCTTAAAAATCTTTGTAGTTATATTTTGTGATTTTATTTTTAGATGCTATATTTTGATAGTATTTGATTAACATTAGTACTCTTTCTGTGGAAACTCTGGCAAAAGTGTTGTTTCTCAATAAACCCATACTTACAACAAACTTGGTATTTAGTAAATTTACATGTCTGGTACTATCTCTTTTACTAAGAATTCAGAAAAATTATAAGAGCAATATTAAATAAATACTGTCTATGTCTATTGATGGATCAACACAAAATGACTGAAGATTCTAAAATAATTATTCTCAAAGAGAAATTCACATGATGTATTCTGAATGATAGTAAGTACCTTCAGAATTAGTTGGCTTACTCAAACTAAAGAGCTTCGTATGGCCTTATTAAATATGCATATGATGACAAATGCATTGTATTGCATCGATATATTAATATGTACATATAAACTTCTATTCTGCATACTTCTCTGCACTTTTGCATGTCCTTTCTAGGTATACTTTAAATGCTCCTTAGTATTACTTGAGTAAATCTGTGATATAAATGGTCTATTAATATATTGCCTGATTTATGACTGATAAAGTTTATGCTAAAACAACTGTTTTGTACCAATTTCTAATGAATCCTTTGTTTAAATGAAACTTGGCTACTGCATGATCTATTTTTTCAGAAACTGTGCCTTGTATGTATTGATCCTTACATTTGTTTAAACTTGCTGCTGTTTTATATGCTTTAATGAAACAAATGCAAACACACAACTAAACGTAATATTTTGTGTAAATTCTGACAGGATTTCAGTGTAATATGAAAGTATATTTGTTATACATGTTATACATACTACAAGATTTCAAGCACCTTGATATTGCTTTCTTGTGGCCATTTCTTGCTCTTTTTCTAAGTCTATCTCTGTATTGTACAACTGTTAGGAATGAATGTAGATATTACATTTCAGAAGGGGGCTCAGTTTAATGAATTTTGAAACTATACTTAATATTCAATGCTATTCTGTTTGCATCTTAATTAAAATTTACTGGTTTACAAATTTTCCTGCTAGTTGGGTAATTTATTACAATTTTTCACAAAGAAGTTTAAACACATAACAGACTTTGTAGAAATTTAGATTGGTATAATTAAAATATTGGGTGGTTTTGTGTTGTTTTTTACACCAATGAAAACTGTTCATATTCTCTTTAAAATTTCCTTTAGTTGATACTCTTTAATAACTTCCGTTGTTTTATATTTATGGCCTAAGAGGTGGAGTCAGAATTTTGCCATAAGATTTGGTGGTGAGCTATTTGCTTTGGGTACTGTGATGTTTATAAATCCGTTCTATTGCAGTGTTCTCAAGAACTTAAGCTTGTTAAAAAAAAAAACTGGGAGAAATAGTATTGTTTATGGAGCATTATTTAATACAATCTGTGCTTGCTCAGCAGGCAAAAATTGAAATTTCTTGTTCATTAATGTTTTTTCGATTTGATTATTAATGTTTGCCTTCTGCAATTATAAATAATATTTCATTGATAAGTAATGCAAAACTTGATCTGAGAAGTACTATTGAAAGTTGAGTAAATTTTTCAAACATTTTTGTTCAGTGTTATTTGTATTTTAACTATCATTAATATCCAAATAATATGTATAATATAGCCTAATTCATGTATAAAATGTTTTTTAAACATGTTTTTCACCAAAAGTTAGGAAAACATGTAAACAAAATGTACCAAAAAATGAAAATCATAAGGAAGTTTCTGTCTTTGAGGATGTTCAACATCTGGTAACTAAATAATGAGAAAACTATCAGGTATTTATTACTGTTAATTTAAATTTGTTATTGATATGATTCTAGTGCAAACATTTGTTTTAAATTGTGTTATAATGTTTTGTTTTCAAATTTGTGCATTGTATATAATTTAGAAATATTATTTAGAGAATTTTTTGTCTTCTTTAGAAATGGTTATTATTTTAAGTAAAAATGAGGACAATGAAAATTGTTGTTTGTTTAGTACTTAATTTATTAATACTTTTATTTTTCATGCATTAAGTCTTGTACTTTCAAAACACGTGAATCAATTCCACCTGTTTTATTAGCAAAAAATCCATGTATATGAGCATGGCACGTGCAACCAGGAAACATTTTGGTTATTCGTAGAAATCAGACACCCTTTTCATATCTCGTGAAAGTATCAAATATTATAATGAATGTGTGAAAGGTTTACTGTTATGAAACACAATGATATCCCAATGTAATGTAATGAGTATATCAAAATGTTTGAATTATCACTGTACTTCTTAATTGAGAATTTATTTTGTGGTGGGTTGGCCTGATCTCACAATATTTTTTTACATTTTCCTTTTTGATTTTATGAAGCTCTTGTATTCTAAATAGTAGCAGATACTTAAGTTGTACAGAATATTTTAATTATATTATTTATGTTTTGTATATATTTCTTTTGCAGTTAAGTTTTGATACTATTTAATTCTGAATTCAGTGTTGAATCATTGTTCCTCATAGGAGTTAATTATTCAGGATTAATTGTTATATTTTGATAAAATGGTGCTTACTATTAAACATAAATAGGTTTATAGTAGTTTATCCCAACAGAATGACTGTGCATATGTATTCAACAGTGTATTTAGTTCAGTGTAACAGTCTGATTATCTGAGCCTGTTAATGTTATAATGTATAAGTCAGTGATTCTGTGTGAAAATGCAGGAGCTGAGAAGGTCCTCATCTGTCCTTAACTATAATTTTGTGAAGTTACCAGTTTTGAAATTGTTGAAGAAAATAAACAGCACAATTTGCTCTAGCTTCCTGATGTACATGAGGTAACCTCTTATAAATGAATGACATATTTTATTTCATCTAAATTAAAAATAAACTACTGCATTACAAAATTAATGTATTTGAACTGATCTCATTACTATGGCTGATATTCTAAATTAATGCCATTATTTGACTATAGCACAATTTTGTATTGTGTGAAAGGAAAAGGTGTTTGTAACTCCCCCTCTCCCACAGTAGAGGTTATTTCTTGCCATTGTATGTACATATTAGGTTTAGTGGCCAATGGAGAAAGTTTGAAATCTATTGGAATTACTCTTCCTCCTCTGTATCATGGTTAGTGCCCCTAGTATGGACGAGAAGACTGGTGTATTGCTGGATGAGGATTGCTGACAGGTAATTTGCAGAACGAATTGAGTATTACAAAAGGGCTGGGTTTGTTAAATTGCTATTTACAGTATAGTATTAAGCATGATTGATTACTTCTCAGCTGTATTGAAATTCTGAGCAATAGTATAATATTACAAATATTTGCATTCGTTTATCTATTTATAAATTAATATTTTACGAGGTCATTTTTTGTTTTTTTACTGTGAAAATTCACTGAAGTTTTTTAGTGCAGGAATAAAGAATAATTTCCTCCTCATTCAAATATTTGTTTGTAAATAAGTAATTACTTCTGAGAAGGTGACTGATGATGCAAAGTTTGAGAACTTGTGCAGTAAATGTTGGAAATAATGGTGCAGTACATTTTTCATATCAGTACGTGCAAGATAGGCACATAATTTCCTTTCATTCCTTTCAGTTTTGGCACATTGATGTATGAAGACAAAAGGAGGATGCCAATCCATTTATGAAATAGTATTGAGCATTGTATTTTGTGAGGATTTTCAGACCCGAATATCTTGAATGAAGGGCATTGACTGTTTGTAGCTTCTGCATATAATAAAATTTGTCTGTGGTATCACCAACTTTTTATCATACTCTTGCCTTATTGTTCCTCTTTTGTTGTAAATTAGTTTGGAGGTATGGAAGGAAATTGAGTTTTGATATACCTCAATTTTTACAATGTTTAGGAGCAAAAGCTGATATTTTAAAAGTTTATTTTATTTGTAGTTGCATCAATAACTAGGAGACTTCAGATAAATGTGATACATAGCCAATGTAAAGGTTGAATTATATACTGAACCCACTCATAATACAAGTATTAAAATAGTAATTATTTGCAATGAACAGTTTATGGCTGAAATGTTGTAAGGCCTTATACAAACGAAACACTACTAAAATAATTTGAATGATCAATAGTAGCATTCATTCTTAAATACAAAGGTTCTCAGAAATGTGGTGTACTTAGATTGTTCAGCATGATTTCACATTTATTCCCAATACATAAGAGAATTATTTAATGATTTATCGTCCAGAAAGCAAAGCGGAAGTTAATCTTTCAGAAGATCCAGATTTTCTTCGGAATTTGATTTTGGAAGAGCTTAGGGAACAATGGTGTATTATGGTTAATATTGAAAAGGTGTTTTGGTCATATAAAGATGATGTGAATATTTAGGACATTAAAAAAGCTGTGGGTTTATATCTCTAAAAACTTAAAACTAGTTTGAGAAAGCAGAATCATGTAACATCTGTGTCAAAATCAAATGGAACCAATAGAGATAGAAAGACATTAAAAAAGTAATTAAGAATTATAAGTAGGGCTGCAGTTTATCTCCATTTCAATTTATTATGTACATCGAAGAAGCCACTGAAAATATTCTCAACCAACGAAAGAGTAAAGTAAATGGAATGGTACATAACATCTTTTTTGTGGATGTCATAGTATTAGTGTTGGAGAAGTATTAGTGTTGGAGATATCCCATTGAAGAAGTTGGATGACTTATAAGAAGAAAACCTAAAGGAAATCGTGAAAGCCAAATTAATGAAGAGTACTTAAGATGACAAAGAAAATATCAGAATCGCAATATATGGAAAACTATTGGCTCAAGTTAAAGGCTACACTTTACATTATAAATATCAACTGCAGACAGAAAGTGCCACCCTGCTCTTCCTCTTCCAAAACAAAATGACAAAACTGCAATTTTTAAAGATTGTTTCTTGTAGTTGGCTGAAGTCAGGAAATATGAAAGCCAAGAAAAATAAATCTGTCTGAAATTAAGACAGATTCTTTTGAACTGGCATTGAACTTGAATTCCTCATTGTGCCAGAATAAACCATAATGTAATTATTAAAAGAGTAAAAGTAATGAAATTTTGTCGTAAATCTCAAAAGAAATTCATTCCAAGGCCATGGACTGTAACATTAACCGTGGTGTCTCTGAGTATTAAAGGAAAAGTGGAAGGACATGTGACTGTGAGAGGAAGGTAGAAATGGAGTGTGTCTGGAAGAACCTGATGCCAAGCTCTGTAAAGTGGAGACAATGATAAACATTCACACAGCTAAGTATAATATATGGCTGATATTTCTTGAATTGTATCGCAATGAAGAGAATTTTAATAGATTTTCTTAGTGTGATTTTTTTTAATATGACAAATTTACATAAGTGAAGAATAAATGTGGAGAAATTTTGCATGTGTAATAGGAGGATTCTCCAATGTATAGTCTGCAGGATGAATCTAGCCCTGGGTGACAATTTAGACTGACCAAGTAAGCAAATTCAGAATTTAAGCTGCTACTCATACACACATTGAAAATAAATAAATAAAATAGATACTTGTCATAATTCGTATTGAGCACAGGCCATTAGGTGTTGTATTCCATTTTACCAAATGATTTCTAGAATTTAATACTGGCCGAACTTATGTGAACTATGCCCTTACATAAAGTAGATTCTGTGCATAAAACATAGTGACAAGCAAACGACAACAATATAGTGAAAAGCAAACAATAATGACGCAATTGTATGAGAAAGCTTCGAATCTGTTCATGATCAGAGATAGAAAAACTATTCGTAGGTGGACATTTTGACAGTGAGTCAACTTTAAATAGTTTGAAAACCCATTCCATAATGAAGTTGATTTTCCACTTAATTCAAGGAGACGCTTGGTGGGCTAGAATCCCGTTAATCCGTTTATCCGCCAGTCCGCTTATCCATCAGTCCGTTCACCCGTCAGTCCGTTGTTCCCTCAGTCCATTGTTCCGTCAGTCCATTGCTTCGTCAGTACGTTAATCTGTCTGTCCGTCAACGCGTCAGTCCATTAATCCGTCAGCCCGTTTATACGCTATTCCGTTTATCCGTCAGTACGTTGTTCCGTCAGTCCGTTAATCTGCCAGTCCGTTAATCCGTCAGTGCGTCAATCCGTCAGTCCGTTAATCAGTCAGTCAGTTATCTGTCAATCCGTAGGTCCGTATATTTTTCAGTCCGTTTGTCCGTTAGTTCATTTATTTTTCAGTCTGTCAATCAGTCAGTTATCCGTCAGTTCGTTAATCCGTCAATCCATTTATCCTTCAGTCCGTTTATCCGTCAGTCCGTTAATCCTTCAGTCTCTTAACCCGTCAGTCCGTGAATGCGTCAGTTCGTTAATGCGACAGTCTATTAATCCGTCTGTCTGTTAATACATAAGTTAGTTAATCCGTCAGTCGGTTAATGCTTCAGTATTATTCCTTAGTCCG